AGTCTCCATTATAACAAATATATTTATTTTTACATGAATGCCCATTGATTATCATGACATCAGTGGGACAGGCTGATGAGGATCCATTACAAAGTTCAGGAAGATCACACTCAGGATGCACACTGGGCCTACACGGTGAACCTGCTTGTTGAATCTAGTAGAAATTAAAATATAAAAAAATAAAGCATTATATATAAGATTGTTATTAATATTTACTTCAAAATTGTGTTACTTTCATTTATAGGCTGATGATCTATTTATTCATTAATGTCTCTTAATATCTTCTATATAAAGTATGTTTTTAAATAAAACAAGAGATAAAACATATACACAAGGAAAAGTAAAACACTAGTATGGTGTAATGAGAGGCAAGATTTTGTTGTGTTTCAGTGCAAGGGAGGAAATATCACTTTTAGCTTGTGATATCACTTTTTCCTTTGGGGTTGAAATCCTGTAATTTAGACAATTTCCAAATAAAATATACTTATTCAAACCAGTCTATAAATATGGAATATCTGTAAATGCAATCTTTCTCCTGAATTATCCTATAAACAACTTTCACCTATTGAATTGGAAAAATTTATACAAAGAATCTTAAATGGGCATCTATCTCATACTTTTTTTAAAAATATTTTTTATTGATTCAGAGAAGAAGGGAGAGGGATAGAGAGGTAGAAACATCAATGATGAGAGAGAATCATTGATCAGTTGCCTCCTGCATGCCCCACACTGGCGATCAAGCCCACAACCCCCATATGTGCCCTGACCGGGAATCGAACCTTGACCTCCTGGTTCATAGGTCAACACTCAACCACTGAACCATGCCAGCCAGGCCTATCTCATACTTCTTAATTAATTGTTTCCTATGTGAGTAGTAAGTATTCAATAAACTTTTGTGGAATTGAAAAAGAAAAGAAAAGATCAGAGATAAGAATATAGCACATGGTGAGATTCTAGAGAAAAACAACATTAAACTGCTTCAGTGATAAGACAGTCAAGAACACAGAACCCATGTTAGTAGTTCAATTAAGGGAATCTCACATAATGAATCTGTTGCAAACACATGGAAAGAACTAAAAAGGAAAACGGGGGGCAGGAGCCAACACCTTTACATATGACTTAAATTGTGATATTTAAGACAAATGGTCTTTGAATAATTAGTTCATAATTTAAATTTTGTGCTAACACAGCATTTGAAAATTACTTCTAGTGAGTTTCATTATTTATACATTTATGGGAAACTATTGTGTCTTTCAATTACATACCCACGGATACCTAACTATGAGCAGTAACATTTTTTATTTGTAAAATATAAATGTTGGATAAAGTGAATGGAAATAATCCCTTTTAAAGGAGATTTTTCTATATTGAAGAATCCTATAATAGCTCTCAATCAAGGCTTAAAAACAACATCATCAAATTGGGGAGGAAATGGCGTTAGAAAGAGGCCTCAACATCCCACTAAAATTCACAAAATAAGAAACCTGACTCTGAATTTAGTATCTTTTTTTTTGAAAGGTCATTGATTTGACTTACAGCTATAGGTCTATGTGTTCTAAAGAAATCCAGACAGAGAAGACTCCCAAGCGCATTTTACAAAACCAGCATTATCCTAATTCCAAAACCAGAAAAAGATACTACAAAGAAAGAAAATTACAGGCCAAGATCCCTGATGAACATAGATGCTGAAATCATCAACAAGATATCAGCAGACCATGTCGAACAGGAGTGGTGAAAGTGGGCATACCTTTGTTCCTGTTCTTAGGTGAAATGGTTTTAGTTTTTGCCCATTGAGTATGATGATGGCTTTAGGTTTGTCATATAAGGCTTTTATTCTGTTGAAATATGATCCCTCTATTCCCATTTTGCTGAGGGTTTTTATCAAGAAAGGGTGTTGGTTTTGTCAAATACTTTTTCTGCATCAATTGATATATGATTTTTATCTCTCAATTTGCTTATGTGATGTATCACGTTTATTGATTTGCGGTTATTGTACCACCCTTGCATCCCCGGAATAAATCCTACTTGGTCATGGTGTATGATCTTTCTGATGTAATGTTGGATCCGATTTGCTAGAATTTCCTTGAGGATTTTTGGCATCCATGTTCATGAGGGATATTGGCCTGTAATTCTCTTTGTGTTGTCTTTATCTGGTCTTGGTATTAGGGTAATGTTGGCTTCATAGAATGAGCTTGGAAGCGTTCCTTCCTCCTGAATTTTTTGGAGTAGTCTGAGGATAGGTTTTAGTTCTTCTTTGAATGTTTGGTAAAACTCCCCTGTGAACCGTCTAGCCCTGGGCTTTTGTTTGCTGGAAACTTTTTGATGACTGCTTCAATTTCCCCTATAGTTATCAGCCTATTGAGATTTTTAGATTCTTCCTGAGTTTTGGAAGGTTGCATTTTTCTAAGAATATGTCCATTTCCTCTAGGTTGTCTAGTTTGTTGAAATAGAGTTGTTCTTAACATTTTTTTTTTTACAATCCTTTGTATTTCTGTGGGGTCTGTTGTTATTTCGCCTCTTTCATTTCTGATTTTGTTTATTTAGGTCCTCTCTGTTTGCTTCTTGGTGAGCCTGGCTAGAGGATCATCAATCTTATTTATCCTTTCAAAGAACCAGCTCTTGGTTTCATTGATTTTTTGGGGGGAGGGGGGAAGGGTGTCTGTATGTCATTTATTACTGCTCTGATCTTTATTATCTCCTTCCTTCTGCTCACCCTGGGCTTTTTTTGTTGCTCTCTTTTTAACTCTTTGAGTTGTAGGGTTAGATAATTTATTATCATTTTTTCTTGTTTTTTGAGGTAGGCCTATAGAGCTATAAACTTCCCTCTCAGGACTGCTTTCACTGTGTCCCATTGATTTTGGATTGTTGTGTTTTCATTGTCATTAGTTTCCAGGATGCTTTTAATATATTTTATGATATCTTTGGTGATCCAATCATTGTTTAACAGCATGCTATTCAGCTTCCAAGTGTTTAAATTTTTTTATTGTTTTTATTATAGTTTATTTCTAATATTATGCCATTGTGGTCTGAGAAGATGCTTGATATGATTTCAATCTTCTTAAATTTGGAGAGATGTTGCCTGTGACACAACATACAGTCTATCTTTGAAAATGTCCCATGTGCACTTGAGAAGAATGTATACTCTGTGGCTTTGGGGTGAAATGTTCTGAAGATGTCAATTAAGTCCATCTGATCTAGTGAGTCATTTAGGATTGCTGTTTCTTTGCTGATTTTTTGTCTAGAGCAGTGGTCGGCAAACTGCGGCTCACAAGCCACATGCAGCTCTTTGGCCCCTTGAGTGTGGCTCTTCTACAAAATACCCACTTCTGCACATGGGCCACAAAGTTTCGATCGCACTGTACATGCGCGCCCACACGTGGTATTTTGTGGAAGAGCCACACTCAAGGGGCCAAAGAGCCGCATGTGGCTCGTGAGCCACAGTTTTCTGACCACTGGTCTAGAGGATTTATTTAGTGATGTCAGTGAGGTATTAAAGTCTCCTACTATGATTGTATCGTTGTCGATCTCTCCCATGGTATCTTCCAGGAGTTTTATGTATGTATTTGGGTGCTCCTGCATTGGGTGCATATAGGTTTACAACAGTTATATCCTCTTAGTGTATTGATCCCTTTAGTATTATGAAGTGGCCTTCCTTATACTCCTGTTCAACATAGTACTGGAAGTGCTAGCCATAGCAATTAGATAAGAAGAAGAAATAAAAGGCATCCAAATTGGAAAAGAAGAAGTAAAACTGTCATTATTTGCAGATGACATAATACTGTACATAGAAAACCCTAAAGACTCCATCAGAAAATTATTAGACTTAACAAATGAATTCAGCAATGTAACAGGATACAAAATTAACATTCACAAATCTATGGCATTTTATACACCAATAATGAACTTACAGAAAGAGAGATTTTAAAAAAACAATCCCATTTACCATTGCACCAAAAAAATTAAGATACCTAGGAATAAGCTTAACTAAGGAGATAAAAGACCTGTACTCAGAAAACTACAGGACATTGAAAAAAGAGATAGAGGAAGACATAAACAAATGGAAGAACATACTGTGTTCATGGACTGGCAGAATCAAAATCATTAAAATGTCCATATGACCCAAAGCAATCTATAGATTCAATGCACTCCCCATTAAAATAGCAATGGAATATTTCAAAGACCTAGAATGAACTCCCCAAAAATTCATCTTGAATAAAAGAAGACTCTGGATAGCTGCAGCAATCCTGAGAAAGAAGAACAAAGTAGGAGGAATCTCAATACTAGATATCAAGCTATATTACTAAGCCACAGTTCTCAAAACTGCCTGATATTTGCACAAGAATAGATATATAGACCAATGGAAAATATAGAAGCCAGAAATTGACCCAAACCACTATGCTCAATTAATATTTGACAAAGGAGGCAAGAGCATACAATGGCGTCAAGACAGTCTCTTTAATAAATGGTGTTGGGAAAATTGGACAGATACATGCAAAAAAAAAAAAAATGAAACTAGACCACCAAGTTACACCATACACAAAAGTAAACTCAAAATGGATAAAGGACTTAAACGTAAGATGGGAAACCATAAAAAAATTAGAGGAATCCACAGGCAGCAAAATCTTAGACATATGCTGATGCAATAACTTCACTGATACAGCTCCTAGGGCAATGGAAACTAAAGAGAAAGAAAACAAATGGGACTACATCAAAATAAATAGCTTCTGCACAGCAAAAGAAACCATCAACAAAACAACAAGAAAGCCCACTGTATGGGAGAACATATTTGTCAATGTTATCACCGATAAGGGTTTAATCTCCAACATTTACAGGGAATTCATACAACTTTACAAAAGGAAGATAAACAATCCAATCAAAAAATGGCCAATGACCTAAATAGACACTTTCGAAAGAGGACCTACAGAAAACCAAGAGACATATGAAAACATACTCAAAGTCACTAATCATCCAAGAGATGCAAATCAAAACAACAATGAGGTGCCATCTCACACTTGTCAGAATGGCTATCATCAACAAATTAACAAATGACGAGTGGTGGCAAGGACTCAGAGAAAAAGGAACCTTGTGCACTGCTTGTGGGAATGAAGACTGGTGTAGCCACTGTGGAGAACTGTATGGAGTTTCCTCAAAAAA